GAAAATCAGGTTTATTCAGTAAAAAAGGGGGTTTGCCTCAGAAGATGAAGGTTTTGTGTAAAAAAGAACCATTTTGATGTCAAAACTGGTGATTTTTACCTCACAGAATCGGCGAAAATCAGGTTTACTCAGTAAAAAAGGGGGTTTACCTCGGAGGATGATGGGATTTCTGTCAAAAACCCCCATTTCGGCCCCCAAAGCGCCGTTTTTTACCTCCATTTGAAGTTTTTCCGTTTTCCCCCTCACGGCGCCGCTGCCGCCCTCGGGGACTGCGGAAAGGGGCGGGGCCGGGCGGGGGAACGGCGGCTCCTGATTGGCCGGTTGGGCGGGAGGGGGCGTGGCCGAGGCCAAGGGCGGGAAACTCGCCGAGGGCGCGGCCGCCATTTTGTCGCGGCGCCTCAGGGGGAAGCGGCGGCGGCGGCGGCGGCTCCGAGCGCGGCCGCCATGGCTCAATCCCCGCTGCTGCCGCCTCCCCGCCGCCCTGGCACGGCGCTGCGAATGGCCGCTAGGCTCTGCGCGGCTCCTGGCGGCGTGGGGTTGCCCTCGGGTTGAGGGGAGCGGCGGGACGTGCCTCAGCCCGCGCCCCGGTGTGGGTGAGTGCAGGGTGAGGCGGGGCCTGAGGGTGTCAGCGGCTCCCGAGGGTGTCAGAGCGGCTCCCAAGGGTGTCAGCGGCTCCCAAGGGTGTCAGCGCCTCCCGCCGGACCCGTCCTGCTGTTCCCAGCTTGTTCCCTCAGCCGGGAGCGCCTCAGGGAGAAAGGAGCCTTCATCATCATCTTCATCATCGTCATCATCGTCATCATCATCTTCATTATCATCATCATCACCATCAATCATCTTCATCTTCATCATCATCTTCATCATCACCATCAATCATCTTCATCTTCATCATCTTCATCATCATCAATCATCATCTTCATCATCTTCATCATCATCATCAACCATCTTCATCATGATCATCATCACCATCAGTCATCATCTTCATCATCATCTTCATCATCATCATATTCTTCATCTTCATCATCATCTTCATCATCATCACCATCATAATCACCATCAATCATCATCATCTTCATCATCATCTTCATCATGATCATCATCACCATCAATCATCATCTTCATCATCATCATCATCACCATCAATCATCATCATCTTCATCATCATCATCTTCATCATCATCACCATCAATCATCATCATCATCATCTTCATCATCACCACCATCATCATCATCTTCATCATCATCACCATCAATCATCTTCATCATCATCGCCATCAATCATCTTCATCATCATCATCATCTCCATCAATCATCATCTTCATCATCTTCATCATCATCACCATCAATCATCATCTTCATCATCATCGCCATCAATCATCTTCATCATCATCATCATCTCCATCAATCATCATCTTCATCATCTTCATCTTCATCATCATCTTCATCATCATCACCATCAATCATCATCATCATCATCGCCATCAATCATCTTCATCATCTTCATCATCATCATCATCACCATCAATCATCATTTTCATAATCTTCATCATCATCATCACCATCAATCATCACCATCAATCATCACCATCAATCACCACCATCTTCATCACCACCTTCATCCTCCTCCCGGCTTCTGCCGCTGTCTCCCTCCAGAGAAGCCTCGGCAGGGACCCCGCTCATCCCCGCCAGCCGCGGAGTTTTGGGGATAAAAACGCCGAAATCGGTGCCGGTGGAGCAGAGCTCAGTTCGTGCCTCGTCTCCATCGCGTGGCTTCGTGCCCCGTGTCCCCAAACCTTTGGTTTTACCCAATTTAGCCCAAACTGAGCCCAAATTGAGCCCCATTTGGACCACTGAGGTTCTGTATCGTCCCCGTTTTTTGGCAATTCAAACCTTGTTTTTGGCCCATTTTTGCCCAAATTTGTTCCCAGTTTGGTCCATTTTGGCCATTTCAGCCCCTTTTTGGCCCATTTTTCCCTTTTGTAACCCGATTTTTCACCTTTTTAACCCCATTTT